ACTCAAAATAGTTCTTATAATCAAATAGCCCGATGTAGCAAAAATCTTTTCCTTAAAATCACATAACAAAGTACATATTTCAAAAATAGATAATAAGTTTATCAAACTAAGAAATATACAAGTTATAAACCATTCTCAAAATAATAATTTTCTTAGTACATAACTCTTTAAAAATCATAGAATAGTTTATTAAACCAAAGTAATTTCAAAGGAAATGAAATGGCTTAGTTGGAAGAACTCAAGTTAATTTAAGAATGAGGTTAAGAGTTTAATTTTCTCTTTAAACAAAATCAATTTTATAAGCATGTAATACATATACAAAAATAAACATAAGGTATGCTGAGTGGAACCCACGACCTACCACTACCTACACAACAACCACAAACCATTCTACCATCTCTACACTTAATGATAATTTCAGTTCAGATTATATAAGACCATAATTTCTGTCCAGAAACACAGTTCACAACAATTCCAGTCCAGATTACATAGCAATGTTTCTAGTCCAAAAAAACGCAGCTCAAACTTCAATATACAATTCGGAACACAAGCTTAATTTATAGTATAGGGTAAAAATAGTTTTGAGAGAAATAAACACTTACCTAAAACATCTAAATCTTAGCTATTTAGCTCGCCCAAATACTCCTTGTCAAAATCCCTAATATTTCCAAACATCAATCCTAGGGCTCCAAAGATAAACTCAACTCATAAAGAGTAAAAGATAGAGGTTAAACTCACCTAGAATACCCAATATCTTAGAGATCTAAGCTTGAAGAAGATGGAGATCCAAGCTTCAAGGTTTTTCCTTTCCCCTATCTCTCTCTAATTAGCTCTCCTTGTCTTCTTTCAAATGAGATGCTTATCCAAGACTAAAGTGGTTCCTTAACCTTTAAGGGTAAAGAAGGGTAATTTGGTAATTTTATCCAATATCAAAATAAGAAGCTTTGACTTGTTGACTTCACTTAATAAAACTTAAGCATAAATGCATTTATAAGACACTGGGTATTACACATATATTGGACGCGTATATATTGTCCATTTGCTTGGACGCGTATTGTCCATTCTATACTAGTGACTCCTAGATTGTCATAGTAAACACAATTTACTTAGCACTTATTGCCATCCCCAGCAATGACGCTATTTTGATAAAGCTATAGTATAAGTGGTGGATGGGAAAGAATAAACGGAGATGTGGAACCCCAAGTGTCGAACTCAATGATGGCAAATCAAAGTAAGCAAAATGCAAGACAATCAATTGTCACAATGTCTCAACAAAAGTGAACTAGGTGCAAGGGGATGGTATAAGAACATTATTGATGCAAGCATGGAAGGTAAGGAAGTAAAGGAAATAAGCAAATATATAAAACGGGGATTTGGAACGAAAGGATTCATGATCATGCATTCATTGGTCTCAAGGTTGACAAGAGATGGTGCAAGGCAAGACTAACCTAGGGAGAACTATGGCACCATCAATAAGTTACGTAGGACTTAGTCTCTCAAGCTCTAAGTCGGGTGAGGCATTCTAGAAAAATCTAGGTGGGCGGTTTACCTTATCCTCTCGGGCCTATCCCTCTCGGATCGTAGGGACGGGAATTGCAAGGGCAAGACTAAGGAGAGTGCAATCTCTTGCAACTCCCCCACTCTCACACTCCTCTCTCACTGGAGCTCTCAATGAAAGAGAATCTATATGCACACCTCTACAACATAGCCATTCAAGATGAAGCAATACATCATGTCTCGTCATTTAATCTATACAAACCATAAATACACAATCACAAATCAAATCCAATCCAAATCCTAGAAGTCTAGCAACTCATCATCATTGATAGATTTAAAACACAGATTGAGGATAACAAATATGGAATTGAAAGCTAAGAAAGAGAATGCTACCAAGTCTTCAATTCAAATGTGAGATCCAATCTTCAAGAATTGTTGGGCAATGAGTGTCTAGCTTGATCTAACCATAATCTAGAGAGAAGTGTGTAAAACTAAGCTACAAACCTATCTAATAATGGAAAATGGTGATCTCCCCTGAAATAATCCCCCTACAAGCCATTTAATAGGCTGAAATCTCCAATTTCTGCGAAGTGCAAAATACACGTGTCCGACCCACGCGTGTGGGGAAGATGCGTGGAACTATCTGCTCTCGACCCATGCACTTTTCCCATGCGCGAGGGACGATGCGTGGGTCGGAATTTGCACTTCTTATCTTCATCAAAGTTGCATCTCTTGAAGTTGCCGTTCAAATGTCACTTGAATCACCTCATTTGGACACTCCTATCTCAAGATATGCTCCAATCACCGAACTGTTGCCGGAATGCCCTGTAAATAACAATGTTTTGCTCTTTTCTACAAAGGCAACCACAATTAGTACTTGCTCTTTTCTTTTATCGAAATAGGATGTAATAGGATCAAAGGACTCCTAAATATCCCAGAAAATGTAGCATCACCTAGCAATTCTATTCACCCGTGCAAGTAGAACTGGCCTAAACTTGGGCCGGTCCTAGGCCTCGATCAGCACAGCTCGGGACCCACCCACCGGCCCATAGTATTCAGGGCCGATCCCGTGCTGGGCCTGGGACCGGGCTTCTTGTGGGCCGATCCTGGGCTAGGTCCGTAATTTGTTATATTGTTTTAAATATATAATATTTTTTACAAATTGATGTATTTTGTTTGAAATAAGACATGGACCCTTAACCTCATTGTTACTAATTTAAATTCTGTACAATTAATATATATATATATATATATATATATATATATATATATATATATATATATATATATATATAGTGAAAGGTTCCGGTGCGGTTGAATGCTTCCCATGCGGTTTTGCGAGTGATTAATGTGCGTGAGTCTTGTGCTTAAGGCGTGTGGGGTTTATGCTTAATGTGCGTGAGTGTGTTTTGAGTTTTTTGCTTAATGTGCGTGAGTCTTGTGCTTAAGGTGCGTGAGTCTTGTGCTTAAGGTGCGTGAGTTTTGTGCTTAATGTGCGTGAATTTTGTGCTTAAGGTGCATGACTATATGTATGTATTTATATTATTTGTGTATACATATCAATATATCATATATGTGGGTGTTAGCATAGTATTATTTGTAAATTATTATTATATAAATTTATTTTTTTTTGTTTTCATCACTACATTATTCAAATATATGATAATTCAAAAGTATCATCACTTTAAGGAATTGTGAAACATAATTTTAACTAATTTTTTAAATTTTGTTACTTAACGATATTTTAATATTGGGCATAGGTTTTCGCGCATCGCACGTACAAAATACTAGTATATACACACACACACACACTCACACGCTTTTCTAAAATTAATATTTTTGTTAAAAATAATATTTTAATTATTAATCTCAAATTTTAAAATTAACATGATTTTCCACTAAATTGAAATTTATAAATGACGTTAAATACATTTGAACTTGTTGTCTTGTACTATTAAAACTTTATATAAGACTTAATATTATTTAATAACTTATAAATATTATAAAATGTAGTATAGTTTATAAAGTTCATTTGATTTTTACTCACTAAATTATGTTAGGTTAATAAATTAGATATTTATAAAATACTTTTAAATTGGATTTGCTTTTAATTTAGGGAGAATTGTTGTGAGTATGAAGTAAGAGAGTGTAGGATTAAGAATTTTTGTGTGATAGAAATAAATTGGGTAAGAGAATTTATAGGGTAAAATCATAAATAAGAAGATGAAAAGTAAAAAAATTTGATCGTTGCATTGGCCGAGAAGCGAGAACAGTAGTAGCTTCTATCGAAGGCTAGGCTTAATCTAGCCTCTGGCAGAGGCTACATGCAACGTGCAACGGCAACGGCCAAATATATTTGGCCATTGCACGTTGCGGGGCTAAGTAGTAAGTAAAAGGTCCAAAATTACTTTTATTTTATTTATTTATATAGTTTTAGGATTTTAGGCTTTTAGCGATGGTAGCAAAGCTGCCATGCATGCTTTGCTGTCATACCACATCAAACATATCAGTATTCAATCATTATCAAAACACACAAGCACACTTTGGTGGTGCCGCAGGACCAATCGCATGCCTATACATGAGGGTCAGCGCATATAGCGCTAACACGGCCTAGAAGCACCCTGCCACGTACCGCAGCATGAAGGGGTTGATCGCAACCAACCGATGAACCGCAACTCATTTATAACGTTTGATCGCAACCAAATGGTGGACCGTAGCCCGAATAGTGTGTATTTCTGATCGCAACAAGATTATGAACCGCAGCTCATTTATTATGTTTGATCGCAACAAAACGGTGGACCGCAACCCTATATATATTTATATACCTGACCGATCGCAACCGGCCTGGTTAACAGCCGATGGTTCTCAACCCATCCAACTGCCCGTATATCCAATTGATCGCAACCAATTAGGGTATCATGCACACAACACATAGCAAGCACATGCAACCCACATTAGCACATAGGGAGGGGGAAAACGTGTATATAAAACTTATGCGTGGTCAACCACATATGAAGAATATTCCTAAGGGGTTCATACATCTTTCAACTAGGCCAACGGGTTACCAATTCAACTAGCATGCAATACACAAGACTCTTTTATCCTACAAACGGTACCTGATACATCAAACTAGACTCAGGTACGACAAAAGGGGGTCCAATGGGACACCACGGAACACGGGGAAAACCACCAAATCTACACTAGGAAAAACAACGGGTGGCCGGCGGGTGGAGGACCACCCGCCGGCGGCATGCAAAAGGCAGCAGGTGCCCGGCAGGCAGTCGCTTGCCCCTGCCGGCGGCCCCATTTGGGGCAACTGGTACGTGGCGTGTTCCCTTGCCCCCACTTACCCCCCACTGACTCTTTCGTAATAAATTGGTCCCGATATCTTTCGTTGAACCCGAAACCATGTCCAGACACAGGTAATTGCTCTGGGAACACATCCGAAAATTCTTTAACAACGGGGATATCATCTAACTTAACTTCTTTACGATGGGTATCCATTACATAACCAAGAAACCGCTATACCCTTTTCTCAATTCCTTCTTAGCCTTCAATGCTGAAATTACTTTTAATGGCACCCTCGAAACCAACACCCCACTCCTAGAAAAGTGTTCTAAAGTAAAAATAGGTTGCCTAGGAATTTGAAATACCACCTTCCTACGAGCACAATCAATGAAGGCATAGTTTTTGGATAGCCAATCCATTCCTAATATCACATCAAAATCCCGCATATCTAGTTGAACTAAATCAATTGACACATTACTCCCATTAAGTTGTAGATGACAATCTTGAAACCAAGTGTCTGTCAGCACAATTTTCCCCATCGGGGTACTAACATATAAAGGTTCACTCAACTTCTTAGCTTGCAAATTTAAGCTCTTTGCAAACATCTCAGAAATAAAACAATGCGAAGAACCAGAATCACACAACACATAAGCATCCACAGTGTTTAGGGGAATAATACCTGCAACTACATTGTCCACCTTATCTGCATCTTCCTGTGTCATGGCAAAAACCCAAGCATTAGCCCTTTTGGGATGAGTCGACTGTGCTTCATTCTTCTTCATGGAGGGACAATTCTTGATCAAATGACCTTGTTGTCTACATCCAAAGCAAGCTCCAACCTTAGGGTGACATGGACCGGTATGAGATCGATGACAATATCCACATGTATTTGCCTTTTTCTGAAATCCAACATCTCTTTTCTCATTGCTAGAACCACTAGCTTCTTTAGATATCTTGGGCCCTGCTATTTTCTTCCTTGCCCAGTATTCAGCTTGCTTATTCAATTCGGCTTCAGCTTTAAGAGCGCAGATATACACAGCCAAGTAGGTGGTGAAGATGGTCCCACACAACTTATCTCGAACATCAGGTCTTAGTTCCCTCTCAAACTTTCTAGCTTTGTCTTTCTCGCCAATCATATATCTCAAGCAGAATTGGCCCAACTCATGAAACTTGTGAGCATACTCCAACACAGTCATACTTCCTTGCTTTAAGTCCAGAAACTCATTTTCCTTGATTGTCTTCAAACTGTCAGGGAAGAAATTGTCAAAGAAAATTCTTTTGAAATCTTGCCAATTAACACCATCAGGGTGGGCAACCCTTTCTACCTCCCACCAATGCTCAGCATTCCCTTGCAATAAAGGAACGACTACTGCTACCTTGACGTCGTTAGGGTATTGCATTGCATCAAATAATTTTTCCAATTCCTTAATCCATCTCTCTGCTGCTGTAGGATCTGGGCCACCATTAAAGGTAGGGGGGTTCACTCACCTAAAGCTTTCGAAATATGAAGACTGGGTAGTGACATCTTGATGTCCTTGCTGTTGTCGAATTAGATTAGCTACAACAGTACTGATCCTAATGATATCTGCTTGAGTAGCTAATGGTGGTGTATTTGGCAAGGTAGTTGGGGGAGCTGTAGGTGTTGTACAAGGAGGGGCCGCAGCTGCTCCAGGATTTACTCCCTGAACCAGGGGACACCTTGATGGTCCTGCATCCACAGCTATGTTCCGAATAGGCAACACATTTGTCGACGGCATACCGCGATGAGTTTGACCACATGTACGAACACCCCTCCTAATCATAGTAAAGCAACACTCCCTAAATTCACAACAGAGAAAGTATGGCCACATTAGCAAAAATGTTTAGGAATCCACATCTAGCTTAAACTTGCTCAAAGCCTAAACTTATCAGCCACTAGGTTAAAGCCTAATTTTGCAAAAATTTAAACTTAAGTTCTTGACCAACTAAGGATTCAAACCTAGGCTCTGATACCAACTCTGTCATGCCCCGCTTTTAGGACATGACCCGGTCGTATCGCTACACGAAAGCCTGTAACAATACGAAGCCTAGCCATACATACCTTTCGGAACCTTCATAACAACACTTTAATGCATAATAATTCCTCACTTTTATGGCCAATATAAACAACTAGTTCTTCCCAAAAACTCACCAAATCACCACTATTAAATATTTACAATCAAGACTAGCATGACAAAATGCATTACAAGCACCAAAACTAAGCACAATGGTTTACCAAAATACAAAGGGTCAACGGGAATATCCAAAAGAAACAAAAATCTGTGATAAGCTCCAATAGTAGGACTAAGTCTCCTAGTCTCCAAAAGTCACCTTCGAGACCCCACCACTTGTGCTCGTGCTATTCACATGTCCTTAACTACTCTGAAACATGAGGAAAAACAAATACAAATAATGAGCTAATGCCCAGTAAGTCGTACTCCTCTCAACCCCGGATAAGTAACCCCAACATAATACAAAAAAACTTTAGAGTAATAACTAGATGCAAAACTTGATCTTTAAACAATATCGAAGTCATAATATATTCCATCATACTATACATAAGCTCACAAAACAAGAAACTTTAGCTACATGGGCATCAACAATATTTCATAACACAATACTTTCAAACGCACAAATCATTCCTTAACATATGACTCATTGGCAACCTACAACCACCATTATATTCTGTGACACATGTCATTATCGTTGTAATGGTCCAAAAAGACTCGACGAATCGGAATGAGTCAGGCTCAACGATTCAGAATGAGCCAGATGGAACGTTCCAACAAATAATTCAAAAGACTCGACGATTCGGAATGAGTCAAGCTCGACGATTCGGAATGAGCATTTAGGAACGTTCCAAGACAAACAAAACAAACAACAAAATGTAGGTTGCCTCATGAATTTGATCAAACACTCAAAATAGTTCTTATAATCAAATAGCCCGATGTAGCAAAAATCTTTTCCTTAAAATCACATAACAAAGTACATATTTCAAAAATAGATAATAAGTTTATCAAACTAAGAAATATGCAAGTTATAAACCATTCTCAAAATAATAATTTTCTTAGTACATAACTCTTTAAAAATCATAGAATAGTTTATTAAACCAAAGTAATTTCAAAGGAAATGAAATGGCTTAGTTGGAAGAACTCAAGTTAATTTAAGAATGAGGTTAAGAGTTTAATTTTCTCTTTAAACAAAATCAATTTTATAAGCATGTAATACATATACAAAAATAAACATAAGGTATGCTGAGTGGAACCCACGACCTACCACTACCTACACAACAACCACAAACCATTCTACCATCTCTACACTTAATGATAATTTCAGTTCAGATTATATAAGACCATAATTTCTGTCCAGAAACACAGTTCACAACAATTCCAGTCCAGATTACATAGCAATGTTTCTAGTCCAAAAAAACGCAGCTCAAACTTCAATATACAATTCGGAACACAAGCTTAATTTATAGTATAGGGTAAAAATAGTTTTGAGAGAAATAAACACTTACCTAAAACATCTAAATCTTAGCTATTTAGCTCGCCCAAATACTCCTTGTCAAAATCCCTAATATTTCCAAACATCAATCCTAGGGCTCCAAAGATAAACTCAACTCATAAAGAGTAAAAGATAGAGGTTAAACTCACCTAGAATACCCAATATCTTAGAGATCTAAGCTTGAAGAAGATGGAGATCCAAGCTTCAAGGTTTTTCCTTTCCCCTATCTCTCTCTAATTAGCTCTCCTTGTCTTCTTTCAAATGAGATGCTTATCCAAGACTAAAGTGGTTCCTTAACCTTTAAGGGTAAAGAAGGGTAATTTGGTAATTTTATCCAATATCAAAATAAGAAGCTTTGACTTGTTGACTTCACTTAATAAAACTTAAGCATAAATGCATTTATAAGACACTGGGTATTACACATATATTGGACGCGTATATATTGTCCATTTGCTTGGACGCGTATTGTCCATTCTATACTAGTGACTCCTAGATTGTCATAGTAAACACAATTTACTTAGCACTTATTGCCATCCCCAGCAATGACGCCATTTTGATAAAGCTATAGTATAAGTGGTGGATGGGAAAGAATAAACGGAGATGTGGAACCCCAAGTGTCGAACTCAATGATGGCAAATCAAAGTAAGCAAAATGCAAGACAATCAATTGTCACAATGTCTCAACAAAAGTGAACTAGGTGCAAGGGGATGGTATAAGAACATTATTGATGCAAGCATGGAAGGTAAGGAAGTAAAGGAAATAAGCAAATATATAAAACGGGGATTTGGAACGAAAGGATTCATGATCATGCATTCATTGGTCTCAAGGTTGACAAGAGATGGTGCAAGGCAAGACTAACCTAGGGAGAACTATGGCACCATCAATAAGTTACGTAGGACTTAGTCTCTCAAGCTCTAAGTCGGGTGAGGCATTCTAGAAAAATCTAGGTGGGCGGTTTACCTTATCCTCTCGGGCCTATCCCTCTCGGATCGTAGGGACGGGAATTGCAAGGGCAAGACTAAGGAGAGTGCAATCTCTTGCAACTCCCCCACTCTCACACTCCTCTCTCACTGGAGCTCTCAATGAAAGAGAATCTATATGCACACCTCTACAACATAGCCATTCAAGATGAAGCAATACATCATGTCTCGTCATTTAATCTATACAAACCATAAATACACAATCACAAATCAAATCCCATCCAAATCCTAGAAGTCTAGCAACTCATCATCATTGATAGATTTAAAACACAGATTGAGGATAACAAATATGGAATTGAAAGCTAAGAAAGAGAATGCTACCAAGTCTTCAATTCAAATGTGAGATCCAATCTTCAAGAATTGTTGGGCAATGAGTGTCTAGCTTGATCTAACCATAATCTAGAGAGAAGTGTGTAAAACTAAGCTACAAACCTATCTAATAATGGAAAATGGTGATCTCCCCTGAAATAATCCCCCTACAAGCCATTTAATAGGCTGAAATCTCCAATTTCTGCGAAGTGCAAAATACACGTGTCCGACCCACGCGTGTGGGGAAGATGCGTGGAATTATCTGCTCTCGACCCATGCACTTTTCCCATGCGCGAGGGACGATGCGTGGGTCGGAATTTGCACTTCTTATCTTCATCAAAGTTGCATCTCTTGAAGTTGCCGTTCAAATGTCACTTGAATCACCTCATTTGGACACTCCTATCTCAAGATATGCTCCAATCACCGAACTGTTGCCGGAATGCCCTGTAAATAACAATGTTTTGCTCTTTTCTACAAAGGCAACCACAATTAGTACTTGCTCTTTTCTTTTATCGAAATAGGATGTAATAGGATCAAAGGACTCCTAAATATCCCAGAAAATGTAGCATCACCTAGCAATTCTATTCACCCGTGCAAGTAGAACTGGCCTAAACTTGGGCCGGTCCTAGGCCTCGGTCAGCACAGCTCGGGACCCACCCACCGGCCCATAGTATTCAGGGCCGATCCCGTGCTGGGCCTGGGACCGGGCTTCTTGTGGGCCGATCCTGGGCTAGGTCCGTAATTTGTTATATTGTTTTAAATATATAATATTTTTTACAAATTGATGTATTTTGTTTGAAATAAGACATGGACCCTTAACCTCATTGTTACTAATTTAAATTCTGTACAATTAATATATATATATATATATATATATATATATATATATATATATATATATAGTGAAAGGTTCCGGTGCGGTTGAATGCTTCCCATGCGGTTTTGCGAGTGATTAATGTGCGTGAGTCTTGTGCTTAAGGCGTGTGGGGTTTATGCTTAATGTGCGTGAGTGTGTTTTGAGTTTTTTGCTTAATGTGCGTGAGTCTTGTGCTTAAGGTGCGTGAGTCTTGTGCTTAAGGTGCGTGAGTTTTGTGCTTAATGTGCGTGAATTTTGTGCTTAAGGTGCATGACTATATGTATGTATTTATATTATTTGTGTATACATATCAATATATCATATATGTGGGTGTTAGCATAGTATTATTTGTAAATTATTATTATATAAATTTATTTTTTTTTGTTTTCATCACTACATTATTCAAATATATGATAATTCAAAAGTATCATCACTTTAAGGAATTGTGAAACATAATTTTAACTAATTTTTTAAATTTTGTTACTTAACGATATTTTAATATTGGGCATAGGTTTTCGCGCATCGCACGTACAAAATACTAGTATATACACACACACACACACTCACACGCTTTTCTAAAATTAATATTTTTGTTAAAAATAATATTTTAATTATTAATCTCAAATTTTAAAATTAACATGATTTTCCACTAAATTGAAATTTATAAATGACGTTAAATACATTTGAACTTGTTGTCTTGTACTATTAAAACTTTATATAAGACTTAATATTATTTAATAACTTATAAATATTATAAAATGTAGTATAGTTTATAAAGTTCATTTGATTTTTACTCACTAAATTATGTTAGGTTAATAAATTAGATATTTATAAAATACTTTTAAATTGGATTTGCTTTTAATTTAGGGAGAATTGTTGTGAGTATGAAGTAAGAGAGTGTAGGATTAAGAATTTTTGTGTGATAGAAATAAATTGGGTAAGAGAATTTATAGGGTAAAATCATAAATAAGAAGATGAAAAGTAAAAAAATTTGATCGTTGCATTGGCCGAGAAGCGAGAACAGTAGTAGCTTCTATCGAAGGCTAGGCTTAATCTAGCCTCTGGCAGAGGCTACATGCAACGTGCAACG